AGAAGTAGTTTGGGTCAATTTGGGCCAACCTAGGTTGACCTAGGGCCTAGGTTTGGGCTAAGTAGACTGGGTTTGACCCACTGAACACAAGGGATGTGATCTTGGGACCTGGCTTGGTCAATTTGACCAAGTCAACCACTTTGACCAAGGATTTCACAAATTCAGGGTCAACACACACCAAGAGTGATTTCCTCATAAGAAATTCTTGGCTAATGATACTCGCAATGGTCGTTAAAAAATAAAATTCCGTAGGATGTATATTAGAGTGTGACACATGAACCAAGTGTCCAAGAATTTTCCATCAAAAGGTTTAGACAGAAACAAAAAAAGATATGGAGTTCAAAACTTAGTGAAGAAAATCCCATCAAGCACTTACAATGCTTGACATATGATATGTATTCCCCAGAGATCCATCATTAATAAAACCCACTAAGAGTGGATTTTCCTAAGAATAAATTCCTAGCTGATGATATTCGTGATGGTCAATACTCTGGAGAACCCTCCAAATGATCCCATCACCAATCTACTTCAACCTCAAGAGAGGCAGTCAATTTCGGCCCTGATCTCCCTATTCAAATCTTGTTTGTGCCTACCACTAAGCATGAGATCTAATGAAGGCATCACTCAGAGATTCGGGTACACTAAGAAAAAGAAAGAAGAAATAATGGAAGTTGAAGTTGTGTATGCAATAGGACACATTGGTGAGCAGTCCAATATGCAAATGTATCAACAACATGGAGCTCCACCATTGTTCCTCCTAAAAGACAACAACAACATGAATAAGAAGAAGATGAATAAGTAAATCCTCCAAAAGTACAAGACGAGAAAGAAGACCAACCAGCTCTTGTCAATGTTGTTGTGTTAGCTCAAAAACAAACAAATGCAATGTCATTTGAGAACCAAGGATAATGAAATTTCCTAAGTTGGCGCAAATGAATGTGACGATGTAGTTGATGCAGAAGAACATCATTGAAAATCTAGCACTTGTTCCACCGATCAATCATTAAGCATCAAGCAATGCTCCTATCAACTTGCCAGCTACCCAATGCCTCAAGTCTATGAAGTATAAGGTGCTCCTTTGAGGGGGGCTTCAAATAATCCTATAATGCTCTAGCCTGCTCCTTAAAATACCCCGAGCACAGCTTAACAAATGATGGATGCTCAAATTGAGAAAGTCAAGGCCATTTATTGAGAGGTTTGATGAAGAAGTATAGAAAGAATAAGGAGGATCTTCATATGATATTTATTGATTTAGATATATGATAAAGTTCTAATAGAAGTGCTATGGAGAATTCTAAAAAAGAAAGGGGTTAATATTTCTTATATTCAAGTCATTAGAAACATGTATGTTGGAGCTGTTACTTTTGTTCAAACACAAGGTGGTTTGACCAAGTATTTTTCAATTTCAGTTGTATTACATCAAGGATCAACTTTAAGCCTATATCTTTTACTTTAGTCATGGATGTTCTTACTAGAGTTTTGCAAGAGAATGTTCCACGGTGTATGCTTTTCATTGACGATATTCTTCTTGATGATAAGACTAAAGAGGGAGTTGATGGTAAATTTGAATTATGGAGGTCAACCTTAGAGTCTAGTGGCTTTCGTTTGAGTAGATCTAAAACCGAAAACATGGAGTGTAATTTTAATAGTAATAGATCTAAGTAGGGGGCTTGTGACTTCGAGCGATCAATTCATTAATAAGAGTACTCGTTTTAGATATCTTGGGTTTATTGTCCAGAGTTATGGTGAAATAGATGGGGATATTATTAGTAGAATTCAAGTTGGATGGTTGAAGTGGAGGAATGCATCGAACTTTTTGTGTGATAGAAAAGCACCACTCAAACTTAAGAGAAAATTTTACAAGATGTGGTTAGACCTACAATGCTTTATGGTGCAGAATGTTAGCCATTAAAAGAGAAGCATAATATTTAGTTAAGTGTTGCATAGATGAGGATGCTCAGGTGGATGTGTGGCTTTAGTCTTAGAGATAGGATACGAAACGAGCATATACGTGAAAAGGTTGGAGTAGCTCCAATGGAAAATAAGATTAGAGGGAATCGCTTAGATGGTTTGGTCACATAAAACGCCGGCCTTCTGATGAGTCAGTTAAGAGAGTAATATATTAGATTTGATCTATGTTAAGAAATGTATAGATAGACCTAAAAAGACTTGGTTAGAAAATATTAGAAATTATCTTTCTTTATTAGATCTAAATGAGACTTTGACTCTTAAAAGAACACAATGGAGAAAAAGGATTCATGTAGCCGACCCTACATAGTGGGATAAAGGCTTGATATTGTCGTTACTTTTGAGAAAGTCAAGGCAGTTATAACTTTAGAATAAGCAGGAAAATTGGGGAGAAAAGGACGCTCCAACATAGTATGATTAGGTGACATGTCCAAAAGGCTACTCGGTACTCAAATTCAATATATTCAATGGCAACGACAACCCTAAACAGCACTTGATCCAGTTCAAAGCAACTTGTAACAACACTGGTGTCACGACCCAACCCGACCGGGACGGATCCCGCTCGCATCGGGCCGCAACAAAACCAAAGAAATCCAGGATCTAGTTTTGGAATTTGCTTCAGAACTTTCTTCCAAATATCGTATAGACAGAAAAACACAGAGCTACTATAAACATCCAAATACAGAAAAGTTCATCTATCTTTTCTTTCATCAAAACAATCATATACAGATACAGTACATGGCTCACGGACAGAAAGAACAGAACAGAACAGAAAAGTCATGACTGTACAAAAATCAAAAGTATCAAGTACCTAACCACAGATCAGACTCAGAACGTCTAGTCTAAGACCTCCTTCCCTTTTCCCAGAATATAAAAACCACGCAGAAAACAAGGATGAGCTAACAGCTCAGCAAGACATCAATCACCAATAAAAATAATCAGAAACTCACATCAGAAAAACATATCAGAAAAGTATCCGTACAGAATTCGAACAATCGTACATAAATCGTATAACAGACAGAACAGATAACAGCTCAATCAGAAATCAAACATCGGATACGGAAAACTGAAATCATATCAAAATCTAAGTTCAAATCAGAGATCATCAAGCTTCAAATCACAGATCAGATAGGATCGTACAGAATAAACAACAACGTACAGAAGTCATAGCAGAAATAATCACATTACAGCTTTACAGAACAGATAATTTCAGAACAGAACTTCCTTCCAGATGTCAGAACTTCCCCTTATATCTCCCTTGTGCTTATAGCACCAGAACTTCCCCTTATGGCTCCCTTTTGTGCTTATAGCACCAGAACAGAACAGATATACAAAATTTCAGATTTCAGAACTTCCCCTTATGTCTCCCTTCCCGGACCCAGACAACAGAATCACATAGGATTCCGGCCCCTTATAACTCTCTTCTGATAGCATACAATTAATCAATTCATTCAATGTACAATTCAGGACAAAAGCAGAATTCGTACGCAAAACCAGCAGCAAAACGGCAATATACGGAATTTATACAAAATTCACAGATTCAGAAATTTACCAAATTATCACAGAATATTCACAACAACATTGTAAGACTTTCATTGTACTGACAAAATATTTTTCAACATCCTGAAAATTTGCACTTCAATTAAAACACCGCGGAATCCAAAATATCCGGTAAAAATCTTCCAGAAAATACTCAAAACGTACACAATTATCATCTCAGAAACATACCAAAAGTTACGCGGTAAAATCTTTGTCAGAAGAAAATAACACCAGAAATTTGCTAACGGAAACAAAATTCGGAACATAAAGTCGTCAAAAATCTCATTTCTGAAAATTGAGAAAGGCGGAATGTGCCTTACCTCGAGTCGGTCAACTTTCCCAACTACGGCGACGGACGAAAATGGACCGAAGTCGCCCAAAAATCCACTTTTCTTCCTCTTTCCACGGTTTTCTCTCTCCTGGACTTTCTCTCTCTTCAAAACGACTTAAATGGGATATTTATTAAGCAGGATCGTCCCGAGACGATCTCCTCTGGACCAGAGCGTGGACCAGATCGTCCAGACGAAACTCTCTGTCTAGTTCGTCCCGACCCTTCCAGGTTCGTACAGACGAAATGACAGATTTCTTCACAATTTCTTCACCACCTGCACCAATCGTCCCTAAACGATCCACTTCGTCCCGGACGATCCTGGGAGGAAAAACAGCCTTTACAACTGGGGTGCGAATGCATTACACTTTCACTAATTCATTAGTAGTTTGACTTCAATTGCTTTTGAAGGGAATGTTGAACTTTGCAACAACTCGGTTAAGAAATTCACAAAGCCCAAAACAATGTTTGTAAGTTTCGTCAATGCCACAAAAAAATAATTAGCATTGATCTTGCTTTTGGAGAAACAAAGAAAAGATGAGTCAATAACTGAATACATTACATGCTGAGGAAATATGAGTATGAAAAGCAAACAATAATTGGCAGAGGAACATGCCATTTACTTGTTCATGGGCAACATCGATGATAAAATGACCTTGTCTATACATGCCCATTATCACCATATTTCAGGAGCTAATTGACAGACTGAGAAAATTTGAAAAATTAATCGTTGCAAGTTTGAGAACCATCTAGATGAAGTCAGTAGAAATTGAATTAATAATAGATATTCAATAATAGAATTTGTACAAATTGACTTCTCGTTATATTTCACATTATAATAGAAATTTTCCAACCATTTCAAAAGAAATTAAGTTTATAATTATTCAATGCTAACTCTCATTAATTATAAAAGCAATCAAAACGCACACATTGAGGCGTGCCTCACCACGAGACAAAAAATGTCTTGAAGCTTACACCTAAATTATAGTCATGTACTTATTCATTTACTAGTTCATGTGCATAGAATAGTTGGTATAGAGACTAGTTTGAGCGTGAAATAGATCACTTACTAGTCTCTACTAGCATATCACATAGTATCCGTTGGTGTCATCATTTCTTGTATGAAACCAAAATCTGAAAAACTTAAAGGGCATAACAAAATTACCTTTTGGAAGAAATGTCCATGCCGCGATTTTTTGCTCAATACCTAAAACTATATCATCCTGAAAAGATTATTAATTGTATCAAATGTTGGTAAGTAAAGAGATGGAACACTTAATTAAACATATCATATCATCATATATGAGAGCAGTATACTACAAACTGAGAGGATGGCAGCATGTATTTGAATTTAAGTTTTGGGAATAAAGGAAAAAAATCAATTTCCAAATGCTAAAAATAGCATGAGGAAGACAGATTTTCAAGACATCACCTAGCATAAGTATAAATTGTTTCTCACCTAAAGTTAAAACTCATGTTGGTAAATGATGGGATACTAAAAACTAAAAACTCATGTACTACTTTGGGCTGTTTGCGACGCGTAGGATTCAGTAAAACTTTGGTTTGCAAATAAAGATGCTCCCTCATCTTTAGTAAAACTCAGGTTGGTAAATAAAGGGACTGTTTGTTGTCCCATTTTAGGTAGGATTTAAGCAACATTTAGCTTAAGCCAGATTTAGCTTAAATATTGCCAAAAATAATTTTGGGAATTTTAAATCCTACTGTCTTGTTAAATTCATTGTTAGCAACGTTAGTAGCTAAATCCATGTTTTCTTAATCGCATCATTCACAATATTTAATGAATTTCTCCTTGCATAAATTTTAAATCTTGAAACAAATATTCAAATAAATTAACAATATTTGTTGTTGTCATGCCAGATAATTTTCAAGTTTTAATTCCGTCAAGATTTGCTAAATCTGAATTGATAAGATTTACTAAATCCTTCTTGGAGCCAAATAGTGGATTAAAACCTAGAAATTGTTTACATAACAACTGTTAACTCTAGTTACATCATGAACAGCAGTTGGCTCCTTGTTTCAGGATTTAAGATTTGAGAGAAGAGAGAAATCCTTATATCTATTAAATTTTGTGGATGATGGGAGGATTTAATAAAAATTGATTTTAATCAATAACGGCCTGGAATGAGATTTATCTAAATAGCTGAAATTAAAATCCCAAAGAAAAAGCAGTTTGGCACGATTTAAGCTAAATATTTATTAAATCCTGCCTGAAATAGGATCTTTCTATTTCTCTCCCTCTATCCCTCCCTAAATATGTTCACAAATAGATTTCGATTAGTGGAAGCAATGCAAAACAAACCTTGGCCTTGCTGATGAACATCCCAGAGCTAGTTCGGACATCACTAAGCGTGCTCTTCCCTGACAAGTTATCTGCCACCGCCGACCTCTTCAGCTCTGATTTCGCCTACATATGTTGACAGATAAAAGTGAGAAGCAGAGAAGTTGACGATGCAGCCATATAGATAATATAGCCATCACTACAAATCATAGCGAGATAAGTAGATCAAACTCACGAGGGATATCAAATGATCGCATTCTTCATCAGTCAAAAAGCCTTCGTAAACGAACGCTCTACAAAAGGCCAAATTTGAGCAAATACGGGAAAGAAAAAAAGAACAAGGAGTGAAGAGCTATGACGGACCTGGGCTTCGATGAGATCTGCTTTGCTCTGGAGGGATTGACGAGCTGGGACGAATGACGGCAGAAGAGCGAAAAGAGTAGGCAAAGAAGCGAAAACTTAACAGCGGATCGAGACATCGGATGGACAAACAGAGACGGCGCTGAGGATCCCTGAGCACTTAAATTCCTTCTGCGAGTTGGATATGAACGAGCGAGGTCGCCGCACAGACAGCTTATAGCTTATAGCTGGAAAAACCTGATAGAAGCGAGAACGTGACCAGTTTTGGGAGAATTATTTTTTTTTTTTTTTTTTGGGGAAAATTTGGGGCCTAAGCCCATCTATTACTATAAAAAAAAGAGATTACATGTGAAAATACAAGTAAACAAAACAGCCTACAAACTTAAGTAGGCAAAAAGAGATAAAAAACAACTATACCACATTTATACCACCCAAAACAGCAAATTAAAATTGAAATAACCAAAATGTGGTAGGAGCATCAGCACTAGAGAAGTCAGCTGCAAAACAGATAACCAAAGCAATTTCCAAGTGCATGAGATTTCCCATACGAACACAGGACAGCTGCTGAATGGGAAGCCAGAGAATATATAACCTGGAAGAGAGCCCTCCAAAACTCAGACGCAGCAGCAAAATAAACTGTAGATGAGCCTCCATAATACCAGAAAAGCTCCAGTCAAGACCAAAGCAAAGAGTCAAAAAGAACTCCCATGCCCGTGGCACCTGGACTCAGGCGTAATAAGTAAGATAAGCAGATCAACCACATCCCTGGTTGCCCAAGAGCCAAAGGCCGTCCAAGGGAATGTGAGGGGAGTTTCATCATTGTCCAGGCGGGCATATCTGCATAAACACTGGCCAACAGCAGTGAGTTGAAGCCAATTACAGTCTTTCTAATAAGTCCATAGCATTTCTCCATTTCAGAATTTTCTCTGACAAAGCTCTCTTAATAATCAATAATAAAGAAGCATGGCATTGGATGTGTTTACCAAATAATCTATTGTTCCTCTCCTTCCAGACAAAATAAATCACAGAAGAGACTGCCAATTTATAGAAATTTAAAGTCTCCAGCTTACCATTAAACTGCCCAATAATCCAATCATAAATATGAAAAATGTTGGGCTTTAACAGAAAATTACTCAACCCAGGAATTAAACCCGAAAGAATTGAGAAAGAGTAATTGCATTCAAAATAAAGGTGTGAAACCATTTCTTCAGAAGTATGACAAAGACAGCAAAGCGACGGGACAAACATATGCCTGAGGCGAAGCGCATCAGCCGTTTTAAGGCCACCCACATTTGCCATCCAAGCAAAAACAGAAAATTTCAAAGCATTTCTTTTATGCCAAACCATGTTGTACCAACTACGATTCATTATATCCGAATGAAATTCCAACAGATAATTCTTAAAATTGCTCTTTACCTTGTCATACCAAAGCAAACAGGGCCCCTCACCCTCAATCCCAGTTATACCAGAAATAACAACACTTAAGCTGAAAGAGAAAGAATCAGGAAAGACCCACGCAGATTCAGAGATAATGTTAGAAATAGCAATATCAGGGATAATAGCAATATTTTCAATCCCAAAAAGATCACATAAGTTACTATTATCAATCCAGTGATCCCATTTAAGAGAAATAGAAGCAGAATTAACAATTCTAAACTTGAAGCAGTGCTTAGTAATAATGGCAGTATTGCAAATGGATTTCCAAAAAGTGGAAGCAGCAGTAGGCGGAGGCTTCCAAGGAGATACATATTTCCTAAATATCCAAGCTGATAGATGACTAGAGCAATTATACAGTCTAAGAATGATAGAGCAATTAAAAGAAAATTGCATAGCCTGAATATAAGAAATGCCCAAACCCCCTTTAGAATAAGGAAGACAAACCTTATCCCAAGCAATCATATGAAGTTTTTTAGCAGAATTTATATCCCCAAAAAACAGAAATCTTAAACAAGATTTTTTTAAAAACTTGTGGACAGCTTTAGGCAAAATGGCCTCCCTTATCCAATAAGCAATAGTATTTTGGATAGTAAACTTCAAATATTGAAGTCTGCCCACAAGAGATAGCAGCGAAGCTTTCCAACCAGTGAATTTCCTGTTAATGCTATCCAATAATGGAAAATAATCCTCTATTTTAAGCCTATAGAAAGACAACGGAATGCCCAGATAAGTGATCTTGCTAGTAATGTTGTGAATGGATAGAGCATTGTAAATATCAATCTGATTGTGCATGTGTTTAGGAAGCATAATGGAGCTCTTATCATAATTTATGTGTAATCCCGTAAGATCAGCAAATTCTTTTAGAATAGAAACCAACAAGCAGCAATTATCAATGGAGGCATCACCAAATATGAGGACATCATCAGCATATAGCAAATGGGAAAGAGAGTAACCATTAACATTAATCCCCTTGAAACCCCTATGCTCTAAGAGGTTAGAAAATCCATCCATAATGATACAAAATAGATAAGGACTCATGGGACAACTCTGCCTAAGACCAGCAGAGGATGAAAAATATCCCTCAAGTGCATCATTGAGAATGACCGAGAAATTAACATCATAAATGCAAGCTTTTATCCAGTTAACAAACGTCTAGGAAAATCTTTCTGAATCAGTCTGGCAATTAAGAAATCCCTTGAGACGGAGTCAAAATCTTTCTTAATGTCTAGTTTTGCACAAAAAAATTTCTCTTTACCTCTTTCCCCACATGAAATAAAATGTCAGAAGCTAACAGGATGTTGTCAGTGGAAACTCTAGACTTAAGAAAACCAGCTTGGTTGTCTTTAACAATAGTGGTCATAACCAGATTAAGCCTCAAAGCTATAATTTTGGCAATAATTGTATACAGCACATTGCAAAGAGCTATAGGCCTATAATCCGCAATGGTGGCAGCATTAAAGTGTTTGAGAATGATAGCAAGAGCTGTAGCTTTCACACCAATGGGCATATAACATTTTTCAAAGAAGGAGTGAACTGCTCTACTCACAATAGGACCAATAATATGCCAGCTAGTCTTGTAGAAATGAAAGTTGAATCCGTCGGGCCCAGGAGAAGAGTTAGATGAGCCCATAAAAACTGCAGCCTTAATTTCAACATCAGTCACAGGGGAGGACAACGTATGATGATAGCTATTGGGAACTGCAACACCAATAGGAAGTTCACCAATACCCACAAAAAGAGAAGCGGGAAGGTTATATAGCTCTTGAAAGTATTGAATGATATTAGAAATCACATTAGATCTGTTGGTGGAGGGATTGGAATTGAGAAGATTGATAACAAATTTCCTACTCCCCATCCTACTCCGAATCTTAGCATATAAGAATTTAATATCATCTTCCCCAAATTTTAACCAATTCACCTTAGCACGCTGAATGACCCATGAAGCATAAAGATTATTGAAGTTAGCCAGCTGATTGTTACAAGGTTCGTATTCATTGCTAATTTGAACATTATTGTGATCTTGTAGCATTTGCTCCATGAGAGTCTTTTGAGTGTTGTTAAGATACTCAATGTGCCTAGACACACTAGAAGAGGAGGACCAAGTTTCCTTTTTAATCTCTTTTTTAAATTGCCTGAGGGAGTTACATAAATGAGAAATCGGATTTCCAGAGCTTGGTTTAGAGAAAACCTCTAACAACATAGTCCAATACTTATCTACCTTGGTCCAATAATTTTTGCAGAGGAAATGATGAAGGACCTTGAAAGAGTTTCCAGAATGCAGAATAACAGGAGAGTGATCATAACAGGATGGGTTTTGTATGGAACAGAAAGAATCAGAGAAGTGATTCAGCCAGCTCTCATTCACAAGGACTCTATCCAATTTGATATGAATAGGATTGTCAACCCGTAGATTATACCAAGTAAAGTTGCAACCAACAGAGTGAAGGTCCACAACCCCATTGTGGAAAATACAATCATTGAAATCTTTGAGAGCCAGATGTGAAAGAGGAGAGCCACCAAGCTTCTCGGTGGCATATATACAGCAATTAAAGTCTCCCATTATAGCCCAGGGAACATTACCATCAGGAGCATCTTGAGAAAGAGAGTTCCACAAAACTTTACGATCTGACATGCTATTAGAAGCATAAACAACATAGAGCTGAAAAAGAGGCTGATTAGACACAATGATCATACCAGAAATCAGTTGAGAGGTAATAATCGAGGGAGAGAAAATCAGCTTAGAAGAATCCCACTTTACCCAGATTCTCCCAGAGAAAAAAAGCAAAATTGTTGCAGCTTGCTTCATAAGAGAAAAGCTTATGAGAATGTTCAAAGAACGGATCATCAAGAGAATGGATTTTAATCCTGTTCTCCAAAATACAAAGTAAATCAAGTTTAAAAGACTCAATAAGACGCTTAAAACAAAGCACTTTATCAGGGCGATTAAACCCCCGAATATTCCACACAATCATTAGTGGAATAGACATCAGGATTTTTACTTAGATTGGGACTTTTTCCCCTGCTTCCCCTTAGCATTTTTTTTTACTGTAGTAGATTCAAGATGTTTGTTCGATTTGATTTGAACTTTAACATTCTTATCCTTCCCAGTAGCATCAGCATTAGAATCATCCCTCTCTAAATTCACCTCAGATTTAGTGGAAGGGTCCTTGATATCTTCCTCATCGTTTAATATTTCAAACCTATTTGGAAAAACATAATCCTTCCCGTCAGATGTCGACTGTGTTTGAATATTAGTAGAGGATGAGGAAGAAACATCATTGGGCGAGTTTAGATTACGGATGCCCAAACTAAACTGATCCCCATTGACAAAATCTCTAACAATGGAATCAGCAACAATATCAGTTTCCTTTGATTTCATTTTAGTGAGAGTTGGGGAATGTGGCTGATACTGTAAAGGATGTCCAATCACCATGGAAGGGGACTCAAGAGAATTTTGATTATTCTGGGGAATTTGAGGATTGATAGGCTCCTTGATACAGGACTGAGTAGGTGGGAGATTATCCAGAGGTTCAGAGTTGGAGATAGGTATAGAACGAGACCTTCTGCTAGTACTCCTACCTCTTAAATTTTTCGGTTATTTACCAGTATCTTTACCTTCCTCATTAGATTCACTCTCTGGTTTTTTCGGACAAGAAGAAGAATAATGCATTAAAGACTTACAGTGTTGACAGGGAAAATGGCGCCTTTCATATTGCACTCTCAAGCATACCACTTCCACATCCAAAGAAACTTGAATCTCCTCCGGATAGGTGGCCTTGCAATCAACCAGCACAAATTCTGGTGA